AAGCCTCTGTATTTAGATTATGTATATAGGTTGATATATTTGCTATGTGACAGCATTTGGTTTGACGATTAATAGTACAGCATAGCTGCAATAATGATCAACAAATCTGTATCATTCCCCTTTTCCCGACATCATTTGCATTTCAATAAAACAACTCAAGGTGTGTTATTTTTAGTGATAATGTGAGAAACAGTCAGCAGTAACCGCCAGGACAATGTGTTGTGTTCATACTGCAATGCCCGTCTCATCACTTCTTGCACTATCCTTCCTCACCATACACTCTGAAAGGGGCTCAAACCTACCGCTTCCTTAATCCTGTTAGAAGCTCTCATGTGTGACAAATTCTCTGCTAAAACCTTCAAAGGAAACTTGAAATAGAAAACGTATCCATCAAGAAGCAGCTGGGGAAAGAAAGGTAGAAAAGCTGGTCTAACCATTGAAACATTTACTGATGCATTTTAATAAAGGATACTGAGTTTTGACTACAGAGTATCAATGAAAATATTGTGTTTATTTCTGGTAAAGCCCTTAAAGAGATGCAAGTGGGCCTGTCTATCCACAGACAGCTTTAAATCTACCATCAGACACCATTATCTAATCCTCCATTTTAATTAACTGAATTAACCATGGCTGCTAATCTCAAGTGAACATTGAACACTGCCAAGTTGGTTTTCACGCAAACTTTGTGCATCCGGAATCCTGTGCTCAGCTCTTCAGGAGGAAAACATGCTCTAGAAACTGGAGAAATGTGCATAACTCATGTAGAATGGCTTATCTGGCTGAGGAATTCTCAGGAGGATTAGGGCAGCCCTGGTGGCTTGGAGACCTGAGTCCCAGCACTATAAAACCAATTTTGCCTTTCAGAAATCATACAAAATCTCATACAGCGGGCAAACCTAGCTGTTCAACCTGTAGCATTTGGAAGACCAGCCTTTACTCTGTGGAAATGATAGGAAACAAGCAGGTAGGAGAATCCAGAAGAACCAGGTGGAGCACTTTATAAATAGTTTTTCCCTCTCTGAGCTGTGTTGTGATAAAAAAGGCCCTTAAGTCTGGCAGGAGGTCTGGTGTGTATCAGTGTATCCAGAAAGCAGATTGAAAATTGAGGATTGGATGAGAGTGGGGGCAGTCATTATAGGCCAAGAAAATGTCTTCCTGTGGAACATCAGCTATGCGAGTCCCCAAGCACACAGTGCGGAGAGAAAGAAAGAGACAGAGAGAGAGTTTGCTTACTTTGCTTATGTTTCTCTGCTAAGTGCAGAAGGGTGGGTCACTGCAGAGGAAGGGCTACAGCTCCAAAGTAGCAACATCACAGCATAATCAGGTTTATAATATTTCAGCTTCTGATACAGGGTGGAGTTTATTTAGTCTTCAGCTAGCTGGGATTCTTAAAATTGTGATCTTCAGAGTTGACCTTTTGGGTTAAAACTTTATTATTACAATTAGCTTTAACTGACAAGTTAGTCTAATTTCATCTTGGATAACTGTTTCCTATATTGCCCACAATGCTAATGGATTACTTGTTGATAATGGTCCAGTGGGATTTAGATCTTGCTTTGTCTTTCCCTAAATAGAGTGATACAGCTGCACTTTAGTCCTTTAGTTTGTCCTCCTCATCTGTACACTCTGCTCAAACAGAGCAGATTCCAAAGATTTAGCTTTTATGCTAATACCGGCGTCAATGCTATCACATTTGCCATCTCGTAACTCACTAACAAGCAGAGCCAAGTTTCAGTCTGAGCTGTAACTCAGTGTCATATACCTGCGTTGCATTCTGGAATCCAATATTTGATGTCTCTATTACTTCTACATTGGATTTCTCATTAATATGATGCTGAATGTCGCTGGAACATGGTGAGTGAGAAAAGAAACTCTTGTTCTTTTGTTTTGGAGCTAGCAGCAAATTCTGGCCATTATCTATTTTATGTCTTATGTTTGAGGTCATTGAATTTTTTCTTCTGTTAAACTCCATTTGCTACCTATACAAACCATTCACAGGAATAACAAAAATACAGCACCAACCTACAAATTTGCACCAGAATCCATAAGCACATACAGCTGGGAAATATGATGAAATAATATTAATATTGTAATAAATTACATTATGTCACAATATACTTTTCTGTATTAATTTTTTTTATAACAGTGAGAGGCTCTGGTTGGAAGCAGCTGATTTGATGTTAAAATTTTGCACTGAACCTTTAAAATTGTACATTTTTAAATGTACTGTTAGAATGTATTAAAAGTATTCTAATTATTTCAGGATTATAATTTAATTATTATATATTATTTTTTTTTCAGCTTGAAGTAATTTATTTTTGTAGACATTGTAGACATAAAAATGTTTTCCATAATTAAAAAATGGCAGTTGGTTACCAAACTTATATATTGCAACAAATATGTATCGTGCATTGTAAAATGTCTTCATCATGATACAATATGTTTTCATATTGCCAACCCTTATAAGTACACCACAAATATTTGAGAATAAAAATATATAATGTGCTTCAAGGTAGAATTTTCCTTTAAGAAGACAAGCTTATTTCAGCTATTTTAGTTGCCAGTAAAAATGAAAGGCTGCTTTGTGATTTCAAATTTGTCTGGAGGAAGGTATTCAGCAGCAGCAGCAGCACAGATTCACTCCTCAAGCTGCTCAAAGCAAAGCTGGCTGGCTACCTAGTGTAAAGGATCCAAATTCATCCTGGGCTGAATGTATTAAGCGAGGCAGCTTGGAGTAAAATGTGTCAATTTGCAATTGTTATTAGATTGTTCATGAGGTGGTTATTTAGGCCCTCCACTCGGTGAGTCAGAGCCTGGGAAGAATCTGAAGGCAAAATGGCACACTTGAAAACCTAATGACATGCATTCACAAATATAAATCAATTTGCACAACTGGCACAAGGTAGGCCGCCAATATGCTTCCAGATTGATGCCAAAGTCTTCAAACAGCATTAGTCAGATTTTGAAGGACAAAAATGCACTCGTCATGGTTTATTTTGAGAGGTGATAATTGCGTCTTTGGAGCTAGCTGTGCCACTCCTCTTTCTTTATCTTTCTCTCTCTGACTCTCTGACTGTGTGTCCGTGGATGGTATTGGCCTCTCTCCAGCACACAAACAACATATCACACTTCTCATGTTGGAGGTTCCCTCCTACAGTCTGTTATTTGCTGCCAGCAGCAGGGATTTACCTGTTGGATAGCGCTCGATGACGGGTTGGTTGTCCACCTGGAGGGTGGCATTACCCCCACTGCGGGTGAAGCGCACTACGTGGTACTTGCCATCGCTCACAATGACCGCTGGCTCATCTATGGTGATGTCATCAGTGCCCACATTGAAGATGACACAGATTTTTCCTTGCTCCTGTAAGAGAAGGGAAAAAATTACATTCAGAAAGAATTAATACAAATGTAAAGAAGTGCAGAGGAAACTGCCAGGTCACATGCAGGCTTGAAAGAGAAACATCTGTCTACATGGTCATGCTGCACTAACTCACCCTTGGGAGAGCAATGCCATATGTATTGCAGGTGGGAAATGAAGTGTGTCTCCATGTTTTACATTCATCACCCTTCCCCCTTTCTCACTTTCCCTCTCCTTCCTTCACTAGCATCTCTCTGACATGTATCAGTTCTGGCACATTCCTGCTGTTTCTGTTTTAGGCTCATCTCCAGCCTCCAGCGGAAACAGCCTGTGTGTTAAATCAGGTTGCCGCTGGGTGACGCTGCTGAGAGGCAGTGAGCTCAGGGCGGGGTTGGCCATGACGCTAGCTCTCGTCTGCTGCATTGGGGGAATTGCAGGTCGCAGTGCTAATATGGCAGGCTGCGGAAACAGAGAGAAAGCTCAGCTGTTTTACAGCCTTGTCATAACCCACTATATCTGACAGTCCAAGGCTGGTGGGAAGAAAGCCAGAGATGGCATTCACAAACTGGCCATATCTGTCTGCTCGGACACAACGGAGCCAGGCTGATCAAACTTCCGTCCACGTTCCAAGTTTGGATATAGTTTTCCTTCTCTCTGGCCTTAACTGACAGCTTCTCATTTAGATGCTGATGCCTGACAAATATCAAATGCAACATATGATGAATATAGAACATGTACTGGAGACTGAAAGACAGGGATAACAAGCATCAGTGTCTAAAATCACAACTCTTTACCATACAGATGAGGATAAATATACATGTAAATTAAAAGCACTACATTGTAGAAGCCAAACAGTACCAAACAACAAACAACTTTTGTAAGAAGTGTTGAAATAAAAGAATCTACTCATATTTTGCACAGAATTAAGAAAATCAAATGTAATATTACAGTGTTAATAATAGTATTACAGCTTGGTGTTGTGGTAAAAATATACTATCACGCAAACGCACATGGAGAGTTAGACATGTTAGAAGTTACAGTAGACACACTGTACCAAAAAAGGATGTGATTCAGTGATTTCTAGTTTATTCTAATGAGAAACATAAGCAAAATAAAGCCACTGGTAAAAAAAAAAATGTAGATAAAATTAGATAATGGCAATGTGGGCTAAAATCCAGTCGGCTACTTTTTAAATTGGCAGTAGGAAGTAAAGTGGTTACATAACCTTGTAGTAAGGCAATTTTCATTCGACAGAGTCACTCCACTGAATGTGGTTAACAGGCATGCTAGAATTGGTCTAAATCTCTGTTTTTTTTAAACAGGTTTGTCAGTGATGCAGCAGGTAAGGATGTTGCCTCACAGTGCCCTGGTTCGCTTATGTATTCAAGTTACTGTCTTGGGGGAGTTTCCTCATGGGTTTCCTCTGGGTTCTCGTGTTTCCTCCCACCTAACAAAAACATGCCAGTAGGTAGATTGACTCTCTAAATTGACCCCAGGTGTGAATTATTGTGTGCATGATGCTTTTCAATTGATTAGTGTCCCATCCATAGTGGATGCAGGACAGAGCAACTTACATTTACTGTATCTCATTTATAGACCTGAGAAGTTGAGGACTTTGCTCAAGGGCCCAGAAGCAGCAGCTTGGCAGTGCTGGGATCTGAACTCAGGACTTTCAAATCAGAAGGTCAACATCTTAACCACTGAGCTACCACTGCCAATAACACAGGCTACATTATGCATCTCAGCTAGTAATTTCTCTCAGAAAACAAGGTTTCATTTAGCACACTAAAGGGTTTGTCTGATTGTCCCTATGGGCGAACCCTTAAAGGATCTTTGCAGAACCCTACAACATAGCGTTTCCCCATTTAGAATGAATTTGTTTAGAAAGCTAGAAAAAACCTTTATTCATCCAAAGAACCCTTAAGGAATCCTTTTCCTTAAAAGAGCACTTAAGTCACTAAAGGCAAAATACTACATCTGGCTCCTGAGAGAGTGCTGGTGTAGTGCTTAATACTATCAGCTGGCACTCAGAGGATGGAATTCTGCCATGTGCTCCTTATCAGCCTCTTCTGCTTCCTCTCCTGCTTTCCACCTGTCCATCTTCCTCTCTGACAGGCTCTCTTCCAATAGGCTTGCTATCTTACTTGTAGACAACTCATTAGCCATCTGCTGAAACATGCCATGCACTGCTCAGAGCAAGGAAATCATTTATTGCACAAGAGAGGGCCTCATGTCACACGCTGGCCTTCATGAGCTCCATCTTACTTTCTAATACTAGATCATATTTGGGGTCATCAACAGACAAAAGCCCCCAACACAATAGCACTTTCTGGATCAAAAGGCTTACAGTGGTGAGAAGGTTAGGTGGAGGTGAAGCTTGCGTCAGTCCTGCAGATCAGGAATGTTATATCCAAGAACAATAGCACTTATTAGATGCATAGCTGATTTAGGGTTTGTGCGTCTCCTGCTTGTGACAGAGAGATGCTGACGGCAGCCAGGGAAAAGTGGGGAGAATGAGTAATCTCTTCAGGGCAGCTGGTAATGAGCAGGCGGTGCTACGAGCCAGAGGAGAGATCGCCTGTCAACAGGCTGTCCCTGCAGGCTAGCGTACAAAACACCCAGCTCTAATCCCCAAATGCCAAACATCCTGCAAAACAAGTCTGACAGTCTGGGTTGTGGTGATGGCCGGGGGCTTTTGAGCATCGTGAGCGTCCTGCACACATGCTCTTTTCAATCACCGCTGACATTCAACACTCTAAATTGGGTTCGTTTGGCTTTGTCTCTATACACAAGGAGCCATTTAGTGGAAACAAGCAGTGTAGCGTATAATAAGTAATGCATTATAGTAATATACTCAATTCTAGACATCTGTATTCCCTACTATTTCCCTGAAGCTGCATTTACCTTGCAGGAACCTTTTCAGGAACCCAGGAACTTTAAAAAAAAACTTCAAGTGTATTTTTTTAAGGATTTTATTTCATAGGCTATAGTGCCACGAACCTTTTTAGTTCCCCCTCCAAAGTAGGTACTTTGCTGAGGACCAGAAATGGCTGCTGTAATTGGACATACTTATTGGTCAAATGCTAGCTTTACAGAAAGGCTAATCTTCTCATCTGGCATTCTGAAAATCTGAGTTTAACTAACAACCATTTACTATTATTATATCAGAGGTGGTGTGCACAACTGGTGTGTTAACTGTGACATAATGGCAACGCAGAATGTTTCCACACCCATTTTCCTTATACACGAGTGGTGAGTCAGAAGCGGTGCATCCAATTTATAAAAATAGGAACAATGAAGAACAAAAACCTTTAATATCAACCTCTTCCATGTTTGCTCCTTCTACATTTTGCTGCATGCTGAAATGTATTGCCTCCTTCACAAATGTCTCATGCAGTTTGCTTAATGAATGGTAGTGGGAGGCTAAATCGATTATTATTATATGGAGCCCAGGAATCGTGGTCATGATACACAGCAGGGGTCAAGGTACAGGCTGACAGGGTTATCAGGAGTGAGACCCTGCAAAACAGTCATGGGAGTGGGCATATTTTACTTTCTTGTGGTAAGGTGTGGACAGTCAGATATGAACATGGGAATGTACTGGATGCTTGGTCAATACTGCAAAATGCATTTACCACTTTCATTCATTCATCTTCAGTAAATGCTTTAACCTTGTCAGGGTCACAGTGGTTTAAATGATTAATTTGTTTTACGGAATTGGTCAGAATTCCTTAGTGGGGGGAAAAAACAGTCCTGTCCACACCTCTAGCGGAAATATAAACTATGAACATATCCAGGAACTGTGTAGTTCTTGTTAAGGATAGTTCCAGAACTCTTTATTTCCTTACCAGTTTCTGGAAACATACCTCATGGAATTGCATGTAGCAGCATCCCACTGGTTCCAGTCAGTATTGCCAGAGTAGCTTGACTGAGAGCACTCCAGACTCCCTCACTCAGACAAGAGCTGGAACAAGATTAAAACTTATATATAAAGCTTACATGATTTGTGCCTACAGTGAAGGTACCTCCTCTCTACTCTGAACACAATCACGTCAGCCCACTGCTCCTTGCTGTCACACATCTGCCTGCTCAGCCGGTGGGCTGCTGATTAGAAGTTTAGGAGTACATGCTAGATGCAGATGAGAATGTAGATGGAGTGTGAAGAATCTCTCTCCCTATCTCTTCTTTCTCTTTATTTCCCCATTCCTCCCTTTGTCACTTAGTGGTTAGGCTAACCTGAAGGGTTTTCTAAAATAGATTACCACTTAGAAGGTGTGAGGTTTAGTAACAGAAATTAAAAAATGAAACATGGATGGTTATTTGATTATTGTTCAAAATTCTGGCAGGAGAAACAAAAAAGCATTTCTTGACTTTATTGTCTGAAATAGCAGATACAAAATTAGGGCTGAAAATAATTAGATCAAGGCCAGCCAATGCACCTATCATCCTTAGCTAGCTTTAGATATGACTTTGGAAGTGTATTCCGAAATGATTGATGAAATGGCCAGAAGAGGACTGCCCTCCACAGAACTATCTGAGATTATGTTGATTGACTGAGGTGAAGCAAAATGCTTTTCTTCAAGGGCTATTAGGAACATTTGTGCTGAACATGGTTTAAAATCGACTCTTCAATGCACATTTGGAATTAGAGGTGGCTAAAGCTATAAATGAAATAAGCTCCTGGACCTGGCAGACCTAGATACAATATATCTAGCCAAAAGTATGTGGGCACCTGACCATAACACCCATGTAGAATGTCTTTGTATGCTGAAGAATTAAGATTTCCTTTCACTGGAACTAAGGGGCCTAAACCTTTTCCAGCATGATAATGCCCCTCTGCACAAAGCGAGCTCCCTTAAACACAAGATTGCCAAGGTTGGAATGAAAGAACTTGAGTGGCCTGCACAGAGCCTTGACCTCAACCCCAATGAACACCTTCAGGCCTTCATGCCAGACATCAGTGCCTAACCTGTTCTGTTCTTATGGCTAAATGGACACAAACTCCCACAGCCAATTTCCAAAATCTTCCCAGAATAGTGGAGGCTGTTATATCAGCAAAGGGGGAACAAATCAATATTAATGCCCATGGTTTTGGAATGGGAACTTCAATACTCAGTTGTCTATATACTTTTGGCCATACAGTGCACCTCTGTACTTTGATGACTTCATTAATATAAATAATATATTTAGCTCTTTTGGGGAAGGAAAGAGACCTACCCCTGAAATAATTATCAAATAATCATTCTTGAATTTCTGTTACCACATAAAAATAGAATGACTTAAATGTACACAGTACCTTTTCTCTGTGAGTAAAAACCATGGCTGCTTGAGATTTCTGAGATTTCCAAAATGCTAATATTAATATTACACATCACATTTCAAGATCAGATGCATTTGGGTGGGCTTTCACATGCATTCTATGCTTATTGCTCTCAAAGCATCTCTAGGGATACTTAACATGCCCTTGAATTTCCTATTAATGTTACAAGTGGATACGCAATTGCTTTGAAGCACCATTAAAGCCCTATAGAGAATGAATTATAACATCTGAATGGGTGTATTTCAGGCACAAATGCTGTATCTGCCCTCATCTTTACACTCCTCTCTGTAAACTGAGCTCATGCTTAAAGGCAGCGCAGCTCTGATTTAATAATCCAGCACACCCGGGTTTCTGATTTGAACTCTAAAGTTGATGCTGTTTGGCAGAAAATAGATTGCAGATTTCTGGAAGGACAATAACACCCATTAGGCTTCTAGCACCTAATCTGACTGAAATAATCAGTGTGAATATAGGAAATGGCTAACACAATGCGACAGTCTTTGCTACAGTCACATTCATCCATTTGCCTCGGCTGCCTCTCAATTTAGCCGCTTGCCATTATTTTTGGGATGATTTTCGTTTAAGGAATTCTTTTTGTGTGGCTGATGTGGGTGAAAGTGTTTGAAATGTCTCTATTGTAACCCTTCTTAAATATATAAAAGACGTGAGAGAGTGTAGCTGGTGCAAGATGGGAGCGTGACATTCTTTTCAACATAAAAAAATACCGATGGGGAAAAGAGATATTTCAATTGTCATGAAGTTTTTATTATAGGGACGCACTATGTCTTGCAGCATAGGGTCTGCATTTAAAAGTCTGACAAGCATTCATGTTCTGTGCTGTCCTTGTGAAGAAGCCTCCCATTCTTTGAAAAAGCTGTCCTACTTTTTTGTGTCAAAGCCAAGAGGTAAGATTGTAATGATGAGAGTTAATGTTAATAATGGGACGTTTCTGAGGCTATCTGATAAGAGATAGCTGTCTGGCGTGGAACATGGAGATAGCACTGATTAAAGACAAATATATCTTTCCAGTTCATGGGCGAGGGTTGCCCAGGGAGGCTGACATTTAGCCGGGCAGCTCATTGTGAGCACCCACGAAGCTCACCTGCCTGTTTGCTCACAAACACTGCATGTTAATAGGTGTCACAGCACATGACCTTCACACTTAATCAGGGCCCAAAGATAAGCCTGGACAGCCAAGGCTCTCTCATTAGGTCCTTTCCCCTATCTCTCCCCCACCCCCCAAGCTAATATGCAATGGGCTTAAAATAACTAGAATTAAACTGATTACATGCCACAACATTCAGCTGATTTTCAAAAACTCCTAAAATGCCTAAAATGGTGAGAAAGCCAGTAGGTGTCTGGCATGTTTCCTAGTCTACCTTTCCTTTTTTTTTTT